TCCCTTTCTGTTCAGCTTGCCTGATTTCTTTTGAGGAGAGAATCCTCGTGCAGTCCGCCATTCCTGTCTTCGAGATAGTCGTCTACCATGAGTAGAGACCTTCGTTTTGGTGGGATCAAGGTCCATGACTTCTTTATAAAGTAAGGAATTTGTTTCAAAGCAGTACATTGATATAAGATATAGGTGTAGGTGTAAGAGCGCGATATTATACATGCAAAGAAATTACTGACCTGAGCCGACCTGTTCGTCTTGATTATGCAACGATTGTCCATGCAAGCCTTCTGTGAGAATGACCCCATGTTAGCATCTTAGCTGTGTCAAATGCAGGTGACTCGGTCTGAATAAAGATAAAGGAAAACAAAGGTAGGATGACTGGGAATGGAAAGAGAAAGAGTCAATCGAGAATAAACCGTTCACGAAGTTGAGCCGGTGTGTATGAATTCAGCTAAATGTTGCCATGAATATGCTGAGAATTTTTCTGGAGCGCCGCGGGAGTGACTCGGCTTCGGGTAGGGTCGCCGGGCAGACCACGTCTCTTCTTTGGAGCATGGTTGCCTCTCATCGTCGTGTCCGATAGTAAAAATGGAGATATCATCTGGATCTATCAATCCAAAGAGAGCAAAGATTGGCCAACCTTGTTCATCCATGTCCAATCTTTCCTCCGAGCTGTCATCGTCTTTTTCAGGATGTGTACTTGGTTCGGTAACGTTAGCGATATCTGCGAGTTTCTTGCTGAGGCGGTCTAATCTTGCTGCGTGTGCCACTGCATAAACGCTGTCCTCTCTTTTCACCTTGCGGTAAGCTCGTTTGGTCTTGGAGCGTGTGGATTTGGCCATTTTTTATGTCAAAGAGGTTTTTTAGTGAGGGAGAAGTAGGATTTGGGGGACTGCACGAGGATTCTCTCCTCAAAAGAAATCAGGCAAGCTGAACAGAAAGGGAGAGCTGACTGGCACACGCCGAGCAGGCCGTTCAAAACGAAGAAGATGAACGAAGCTTTGATTTCTTTGCCGTTAAGAAAACCTGACGATCCTTGTACACCTACGCGTCTCATTAGTGGTACTGGTAAGCGTCCGCAAGCTACGAGCTGGTAGTATCTTGTGTAAGCATCAGGCATCCCTCAGGATGAGGATGGGTTACAGGTAGCATAGTACTAGCAGTTGTAATCACTAAAAAATTAAGCCTACTTGACCACACAGTTTGCTATCCCCTTTAGCATCCAGTTAGTGTTGAGCTTTGAGCTATGCGGTTTTCCATAAACTCTCACTCAGCCCCCCGCCCCGCTCCCTTCGATTTATCCGAGTGCTGAGCACGATGATGGGTCCCTATGACTCCTTTAAGCCAGACGACCAGAAATGTCGACAATTATGGCCATGCCAAAGAAAATTTGTCGTAATTGGCGGTTGCAGCCAACGTGTCGTAGCCAATATTCTCTAATATAAGTCATAACACCTCATGACGGCGAGTGGATCGCCGAATACTTCCCTACGTGGAATCATGAACAAATGAAACATAAGGACATTCATGTCGGACGTTTGGTACCCACAGATTCTAATTTTCCGATCCCAACTTGCCGTAGCAAAGAGTTCTCCAATATAACTAAAATCCATGGACATGACTAT